GTGTGTGTGTGTGCGTGCGTGTGTTCTTTCGTTTTCGTGTCTGTTCCCCAAGATGCATCATCATCGCTTCAGGAAAGGGATTCTCCGCTCTGGCAGCCAGGTGACACCGCTTGCGTAAATAGGACTGCAAAAACCTTTGTGCGGGACAAAAGAAAGCGCCACAGAAGTTGAATGCTGCACAACATCTCTGACTGCGCATACTGCGGAGGTACACCCATTGCCCGGTCATCGGATCGGTGCCTCCACGACTTGGTGAGGCCCTAAACAGGGCTGAGGCGATGTGCCAGCAACCCGGGTAACATTTATCAAAACTGAATTCCACCCTCTTCGGGTTCGGCCTACCGCAGTGACTGAAAGGCATGTTCGGACAGACAAGCGCCTCAGCCGCGGCTTCACGCGATGGCAACTGCTAGGCCCGGTGGACTGTTGCGCACAGCTGTGCGGCAGGCCGTAAGCAAGACAGCTTATCACCGGGCATTCACTGTTTACGAATGCCGACATGCCTCGACGAAAGCTAGGGGCCGAACGTAGATGATCAGGGCCAGCAGCATGAGGGCCCAGAACAGCGACTTCAGCGTGTGCAGGATGGAGGTCTGAAGCTTCAGCTACAAAGCTCTCTGTCAAGGAGCCCTGGAATGCCAACATCCCAGCCGGAGCCCCGGCTAAACCCGCAACAAGCCCCGAAGTCACACTTCGTGACCGCCGCCAAAGCGCAATGAGCGTTCGGAAAGCCATGACGAAGCGCAGGATCCGCACGAGCCTGACGGCCTTGATGAGCCTCGGTGCTCTCATGCGGCTTTCGGGCTCGGGGCGCACTCGACATCCCTCCACCAATGTGTGCCCTGCGGCCTGGTGATTCGGATGATCCGGAAGGCTTTCAGGCTCGACATGCCTGATAGGACGGCGAGGTCCTGCGGCAGCTGCAATCGACTTGTGGTCGAGCTCTTCGCTGTGAGAGGCACTGGCCAAGTACTAGGCCTGTCTGCCGGCCAGCATCCAACCCCACAAAAGAAGCAAAGCCCTGCCCCCCGTACCCCAGTGCTTGGCCGTCGCTCCGTATTGCCCTGGCTGTAATAGTAGACATCCACGGCCACCTCCCACAAGGACGTCGCGACGATGAATAGATCAAGCCCTCAGATGGGCGCAGCCATTGCGAGGACAGTGGGTAGCTCCAGCCATCAACACCATCACCACTGCCACCACCATAAATGCAATCCTCGTCGTCCTCGTCGTCAGTTTCATCGTCATCGTTATCGTCAACAATCGAAACCGTCACCCTCAACCTCACCCTCACTCTCACCGTCATGCCAATATCTGCATTGGATGCATTTGGAGCAACAAATCGCCAAATCATCATCATCACATCATCATCGTCATCACCTCACCACCCCCACCATCCCCATTGCCATTACCTATACAAATGCAGATACTTGTGAATTAGTGTCGTTATGATTATCATTGTCACTATCAAACCCGATATCTTTGACACTACTATCGCATTGTCCTAACCATCAGCATCAGCAGCAGCAGCAACATCTCTACCATCAGAATTGTCTCATGATCCCCATAAGGCATCAACGTGCCCGTCGGAAACAACATCGTCTGTGTCACAACTGCTATCGCTTCGACGCACCGACGCCTGTAGCCCGAATCTTATCCTGCGGACATTTTATGAATTACAGTCGTTACTCTTCTGCCGAAAGCCTGAAAATCGCAAGTCCCCTGCGAGATCAAGTTGCAGGCCCATGTCCACTCGTCACGCCAGAATAGGCTGGGGCCCTGCCCCAGAACCCTAAGCCTCAGCGGCATTGCTGTTGGGGCACCAGCCGCGAAGGTCTTGCAGCATAGGAAAGACGAACTGGACATCAGTCGCAGGGGCAGCAGATGCTGAGTCCGTCGCACAAGCTCGAGAGTGAAGAGAAGAGTGTAGACGTACTGCACAGCCTGCGTCGGCGCGGCAAAGCTTGCGTTTATGGTTTCAGCAGGAGGGTGCCTTGAGACTCAAACCGGCAATTCTAACAAAACCGCGCGACGCCGGCCTGTACCGGGATTGACCTGCACCCAGTTGACATGCTGAGCTGCAGCTCCACACCAATGAAGATCCTTTGCTGCCAGGTTGATGGTTTGAGGGCTGGGTATTGGTAAGCCGGTAAGCGTCACCTCTAGCCACACGAGGCAGGTGCTTTTGGCGTCCCGGCCGAAGCCAAGCTTGCCAATCGCAGAATCAGGCCAGCAAACAGAAGCTTCAGCGGCATCCCTCGAATCAAGTTCGCCGAAAAGGCCAAAGGGCAAAGGCCGAGAGGTAGCCGCCTTAGCAACATGCAGGCAAGGGTCGAGTTCGTGACGACCACTACGGTGAAGAAGAGGTCAAAACCAGGATGTTTCACCAGTCGCTCTGCACAGTATGGCGGCGCCTGGACCGTCTCAGTTGTGCGAGCTCCAAAGCTGCGCGTGTCCCTGCCTCCGAAGACATCGCGACCGTCACCGATCGCTCTGCTGAGACAGCCTTGGCCTCCGGGTCAGAGATAGCTGACGACGATTGGTCTCGGGGACCTCTGCTTCCCCACCTCCCGGCGCCGGCTTAGCTCGGTCTGCGAGAAGGTCTTGAAGAGATGGGGCCTGGGCACAATGGCGTCCAGAGTTCAAGGTCTTATTCTGCAGAAGTACTGAGTGCACCACGTAAACGAAGTTCTTTTGGGCCGAGCTGGCTCGTCGTACTTCACCTCCGGCAGGCGGATCCCTTTCAGACAGCATCCTTCCGAGAACGGTGTCAGCAACAGGGAGCTGCCTCCCAGCATCTCCCAGCCGCAGTCTACTTTTTTTGCATCAGCTACGAGAAGCCGTGTGCAACAGCCCTAATGTGCTAAGCCAAGACAAAGCATTCAGACCACCCACAGCTGCCCACACACACACACACACACACACACGCACGCACACACTCTGACACTGGAGTGAACCGAACACAGCTGTGATGCGAGGAAAAGCAGCTTCAGTTCCAGGCCTTCGCACGAACCTGCTGAGAGCCACTGCTGTGGCAGCCGCTGTTGCAGCCACTGTTGCAGCCACTGTTGCAGCCACTGCTGTGGCAGGCGGCGACTTCAGGCCGCTCCAGGCTGATTCTGGCCAGCAAGGCACAAGCACACAGGCCCAGTGAAACCTACACGTCTAAAGCTTGTGGATCCATCCTCTGTCTAAGTCTTGTCTGCGACCCTCGGCCTCCGCATCCCCAAGGGAGGCTTCCTTGTGGCAGCAGCAGAGTTGGACGAGGCTCTGCGGAGTTCTCTGAGAGATGCAGTCGGAGCGTCGAAACGAGCAGGCTCAAGAGCTCCGTCTGATGGTCCAATCGCTTTAGAATTTCTGCCTCAGGGTTGTCTGTCGCAGTTCTCGCATGATGCCGCAAAAAAACACTAATTTCAAACTGAGCTTTGTTGCATGCGTGACTTCAAGTGCGACCCGGAAAGACCGCTACGTTTTCAAGCACGGTCTCGACGGCACCATTGAGATCTGCGCTTCATGATGATGCCGAAACACAATTGAGGTCTCTTTCAATCGTAGAAGCATCCGACAGTACTTCAGAAACGCTCAGAGTCTAGGTCGTAATCGTTGCGAAGGCTCGTTATCGAACTGTAACCGAAACCTGCACTTGCATCTCCCAACCATCCTTCAAGCCGCCATGCATTGACAGAGCCTGTCAGACTAACACAGAAAGCCATGGGGAAACCCGGCGGATCACTGGCAATACTCAGCGAAGCAGCTTGCTTCTGCAGCATCTTGTCGGTGGAGTCGGCATGCCCGTCTTTGACGTGGACCTCATCCAGTTCATTGTGGCGGAAACGGTGCAATACTCGACTGCTCTACAAGTTTTTTTGCGACGATCAGGCATCGCCCTGTGTTCGTACTGCCGTGCGTGGCATCGGCAATCATCGTGCGTGCATGACTCCAACGAATCTTACCTAAAGCTCGAACCACACGCGGCACTAGCTGGGATGGCGGGCACAGGCGGGCACCATCTCCGAAAGTCAGCCGATCATGAGCAAAACATGTTCCTGTGCGAGAAAGACACATGCTCCTCCGCACGAGCTTGCCAAAACCGCCCCGGCGAGATCTTCACCGCGCCCTGAGAGGTTTGGGTCAGCAGATCCAAACATGCTATCGATGGATCATGATGGGCGACGGCCCAAGAGCCCATGCCCGTGCCTGTGGGGCTTCCAGGCACTCGGGCCCGCTAGCCTCGAGGCGATGCCGTGGCTTCCAGCTCTGCGGAGGAAAACCATAACCCGGACTAGCCACACGGGGTCTGCATCCTTGCTAGAGTTCCAGCTTGAGGGCTCACGCACGTGCTGGTTGTATGCGGTGTAGGTCTAGAGCTCAAACTTGATGTGACCTTTGTCATCCTTTCATAACCAGGAATTGGCATTTGGCCCAAGAGTCGGTGTCATCATCCAGGGGAGGCAGTTTCTCCGCGTCTGCCATCTTCGCTTTCCCCTGAGCTGCAGCCGAGCGGTTTGCATTTCCCAGCCCGCTCGGGGTCAGCGTGGCAAGAACTGCTGGCGCAGCCTCTAGCTTGAAAAAAGCTTCCTCACGCTGCCCTCTCCCATTGACCTCTGCACTGCCAGGCCACCCAATCAACCCAAAACTCCGAACGCATGCAGAATCCCCACCCCTGTCAAGTCCAGCGGCAGTGAACGGCTCAAAGGCCCAGCTAGGACGAAGCTGCGATGGTCAAATGGCTGCAGAGGCCGTGCCGTTTATATCTTTTAGCGTGTCAACGAATACAGTAGCGGCGACAATTACAAATCCTTCATCCCGAGGTGCCATCCTGGCTGCCCTCGTACACCAAGGTAGTGCGCACCTGGAGCAGGTCCGAAGGCTTAAAGCGACCTGGAGGAAGGAACTGCGATGGCACTCCCTGTGGATGTGGCATAGAGAATCTCGAAAGGTGACACTGCAATACTCGATCCTTGACTCCTTCTGCCGGGCCTGAGGCAGAGCTTCGGGAGGGAAGACGCCGTAAGAGCTGATCAGGCGAAAGGGTCCTCTCTTTTGATGCTCACACTTTCGAGAGCAGTCCGGGCTTAAAGCCAGGCTCAGGCTACAAAAAGTGGACACTTGCCGGTCCTAAGAGTCTGATGAGACCGATCCTGAGCTCGAAAAAAAATGCCGACAGCAGAAAATCCGCTTCAGAGAGCTATGGCTTAGCTATGGCTTTTGGGAGTGCAAGGCTTCATCCAACTACGTCTCGACCCCGGTGGGCGAACGCCCGAAGCTGGAACTTCCTTCCACCCTGAGAGCACGGGTTTCAAGAGGTCGAAAGTCAGAAACTCCTGATGCTGACGTGCTTGTGGCCAGGCTTCAGCCCATGGAGCTGGAATTCTGGGATGATCTCCTGGGTCCAAGCTTTCCATGCTGGCCCCCGGTACTACAGCCCTGGGCTCTAGCTGTAGCCTCTCTTGCCTGAAAAGATCGAGAAACGCAGCAAAATGCGAAAAAGTGCAGAACAACACGCGGAAAAACGCGACAAGTCGAAAAGCCTAAAACCCCAACAAGTGCCGAAAAGCTCAGGAAAACGTGAAAAGCCTTTGCATCGAAAACTTTTCGACTTTTTTTACTTTTTCAGATTTGATTCGGTTCTCAGCTTATCGAAACAAAGGCCTGCTTGTGCACTTGGTACTCAAGGAGCTCTTCTGCCTCCTATAGCAGGGCAGGGGACAAGAAGTTAGACATGGGGCCTCTTCGACTGGGGTGTTTCGAGGGCTTGAAGCTGGACTTTCACTAGGCCACCACACACAAACTACATCGTGAAGTAGATCGATGCTAGACTTTGATGGGTTTTCTCGCAGCAATACTTCGCTCAATGTTCGAGATCGCTCGCAACAGCAGGGCCGTCGTCGCAAGCAAAAGCACGTCGTCTAGCGCCCTGCGGCTTGCATCAAAGGGCTCGAAAGCTCCCACTCATCGCCATGGGACCTGCAAGTGTGCCACAATGAGATTTCTCTTTCGTGACGATCGGGAACAGAATCTGCCCGTCCAAGAGTGTCATCGCGCTTTAAAGCTGTTTTGCTTCACGAATCCAGGGCATTCTCAGCACTCACCAACATGTATAGATTTCGGCACCAACTTGAAATATACGTCTGCTGGTAGGCGGCACAGTTTGATCGCGGCGTGGGCAAAATCCCGAGAGAGGTGGAACCGGCCATGCCGTCGGAGCTGGAGCCACGATGCAAGGGCCAGCTATGCCAGCCGTGATCTCCACCTTCGTCGGCAGCGTCATGGTATTGGAGTGGCTGGAGCCTGGCCCATCCAAGGAAGGCTAGGCGGCGCCCGATGCCACAGCGACTTCAGCAACCCCTCAAGTGATGCAAGCTTGAGCCGTAGGGCGAATTAGCTTGCGGGGTATCTTGGCCTGGCTCTATCGCACCAACACCGAGACATGGGAGCACTTCAAGCAGCTGACCAAAACAGAGCCAAGCGGCCCAGTAGTAGTAGGGCCAGGAGGTGTTCGTCCAGGTATCGAAGCAGCAGTAGATGAGGCTCAGAAACATGTAAACCTCATTTAGTGCTCATCAATCCTGAATCCCCAGCCTACATCGCAGCAACATCAGGCGTGGTCGTCGTTTCGTTTCTTCAAGGAACGCCCTCATCCTGCTAGCAAACAAAGTACTGCATATCTGAGACATCTCGGGCATTGGGCCTTGAAGAAGCCAACAAGTGCCTGCACACATGTGTGAGAACATGCGCATATACGTGCATATATGTATGTATAAAAATAACTCTATTTCTATATATATATATATACATATACATATACATATTTTAGCACTCGCGCTCGACAAGTCAGGCGAGGTTTCGGCGGGAACAAGAACCGTATATGTACATATACATATACATATACATATACATATACATATATGTACCTACATTTTAGCACTCGCACTCGTCGAAGCAGGCGAGGTATGTGGGAAACTTATGTACCTACATACCTACATACCTACCTAGCTACCTAGCTACCTAGCTACCTAGCTACCTACCTACCTACCTACCTACCTACCTACCTACATGCTTGCATGCATGCATGCATACTTACATACATTCATACATACATACATGCATGCATGCATGCATACATATATATATGTACATATACACACACACACACACACATGTGTGTGTGTGTGTGTGTGTGTGTGTGTGTGTGGTCCCGCATCGCCGCGTCAGTGGACCCCCCCCCGGCCTGCAAGTGGGCAAGGAGTGCAGTGGCTTCAGGAACAGGGCCAACCACCGTAACCCTAAGACCCCCTAAAACAACCACCAAGCTAACCTCACCTTCGGATTGAAGAGGACATGCAAGTACCCCTGCAGGCGATGCACGGGGCGAAGCACAAGTGGATCAGACAGGGGAGCTGGCGGAAGCTGAAAGAAGCCAAACCGAAAACCAAGGTAGAAGGCCGTGAGCAAGCCCACCAACAAGCTCAGAGAGGTAGGGTGACAATGCAGGGGACCACAATGACCAAAAAATCCAAACGAAGAAGGAAAGTGTAGGCATTGACAACGGAAACGCTGTAATTATCGAGGAATTTAATGTGGTCTTGCGCAGTCGAAACGGCGGCGCACCCAAAAAATGCCGAGCATTTCGTTTGTTGCAGACGTTACGTTGTAGAGACGGCAAGACCAGAACGAGAAAAACAATGCAGGTGCTAAACCTCCCCCCCCGGCCCTCCCCCATTGACCCGCCAACGACCTCGGCCGGACGGAAAGTGTAACACCTTCTGCGGCGGCGAGGGGCGGCGCTGCCTTGAACTAACACACTGCCGAACAAAACCCATGAGAACTTGCAGTGGGCATGCTTGCTATCAGCATGCTTCCAAAAAGCCGTCATCAGTGGGCGGAGAAGGATATCCGACCAGAAGCAGTCGCCCAGCTCTCTGGCAGAGAAGAAGCTCGAATATGCCTTTCACGTGCGAGTGACATGACATGACACGGGGCAAAATGTTCACACTGAGGTCATGGTGGTGTGGACCTCTGCCGAGGCCCATCATTGAATCAATGGGTCAAGCCAAGCAGAAGGAGAACAGATGACTCAGTAGTTATGCCAAGCTCAGCCGCCACATCCAGGTCGAACAAGCCGACGCACACGATGGCATATCCTTGCAGATGCACCGCACCGGCTACTTTTCGGTGCACCAGAAACCCAACAGGAGGCAAATCTGCAGGATGGAAGATCGGCGTGTTTCTCTGACGGCCCGCAAATCGAAATTCTCCAACCAGCTTTCCCGCACTCCCTTGGCAGACCAAGCTCCGAAGTTGAAGGCGCCCCAGTTTCCTGCTAGACACTGCAGCGGACTGCAAAATTTTGCGACAGGAGTATCTCTCGGCATCCCAACTCATATGCGAACGAGCCAGAAGCATGGAAAGGCTGCTGGGAGTCAGATTGCAGCTAACCATCAGAACGGGAGGCCACAGTTCAGATTACAGTATAAGTTCGCCCCCTTGCTCGGATCACTCGCCGTTCGGTCGGGATTGGGAGGGAAACGAAACTCTTAGGGAGGGTCTCAGCGGGCGCAGCTACCAGCACTCGGGAAACACCAGGAATATGACGACTATTGACGACTTACTACTTGTATCCATACGGCCAATAATTCTACGGATGGCGTTGATCCTGGGATCCTACGAAATGCTGGCACCCGATGTGCAATTGCTTGCCGTGCCACGCCACGAAATTCACAAGAAATCTTCAATACAATTCTCTCCCACATGTCCGTCTCTGGGTGCACTTTAACGAGGAAGAATCTCGCTCCTGTCAGGTAGATGCCGAACATCAGCGCGATCCTGAGTATCGCAACTTAGGCCTCCATGGTTCGTCTCTTGCTGCTTTAGACGTGGGCCCCTCCATCCGGCGCGTGCCCTGGACGCTGAAGTCTGAAGCATTCGTTGGCTCTTGTACAACAGTCATTCCACCTGGGCTGTTTTCACCTGAAGCCAACTCCCACAAACTGCCGTGGCATGTCTGAGATCACGTCGACGTGCCACCTGGTAGGGCACACTATGAGAAGAGGCTCCGTCTTGAGTCTCGCGCTTTGGCTCTACCGTACCGGGTCCAAAAACAAAAACCCTGACCCTTCACCAGGCGGCCAACATCCTGCATGCTTGCGACCGACCCGAAAAACACCCAAGGCCCTGAACGCCACACACTGCCACGCCGCAGTCCGCAGGCAGCGATGTAGCGGGGCGCTCCTCCCCAGAAGGCGCAAAGCGGCAGAATCACCTCAACCTGACATTCACGCATCTGTCTCGACTCTTATGCAAGCCGCAACAGACACTTCACACTGAAGGTGTTCTCGGATGTTCTTGGATTCCGGAGTTTTGCGCGGCTTTGGTCGCGTGAGCATGCGTGAGCTTTGAGCATCAAAAGCAAGCAACAACAGCCCTACTCTAAGCACCCGTCCGCTCACAATCAAACCGAACATAGCTGCGGTCTGTAGCACATAGAGCATGAAGACATAGCCGGCTCTGAGAAACCACAAGGGCGCGTGATGCAAATACCTTGCACGACGGCAGCAGTGAGGAAGCGGCTAAGAAGGGGGAGCGCTTGGTCTTCCTCTCGTATTCCATGGCTTGTCCACAAAAACGTTAGTAACCCAGTGCGCTGGAGGTCTCTGAGGCTGCACCGCTCGAAACTCCAAAGGCACGTGAGCAACGACTAGCCAAAGGGCGGGCCATGACACACGGGGCAGGATCGGTCTAGTCTTGCTGACGCAGGAAGGCCATGCCATAGAACAAATAATGGCTCGTGCTCAGCGCCTTCAAGACCTGTCACAATCTGTCACACACAAGTTTACTAGAGACCTTCTAGAAGGCATCTATACTGCACTGTGGTCGCAGCTTTTTTTGCGACGTTGTGACACGTCTAGTGACTAGTGTAGCCGATGTGGCATGCTGTGTTGCGCACTCACAGGGCCAGCATCTCGAATGCTGCATGGTTTGAATGGATGTTGCCAGGGCGCCAGCTGAGCCTATTTGGCAGCAGCTGCCAGATGAAAAATCCCTGCAGGTACAGGTTGTCCTCGAAAACGCGAGCCTCGAGTAATTCGGATTCCGAAAGAGATATGAAACAGACTCAGCACAGAACTGAAAGCAGGGCTGTCAATATCTCTGCTTCCGTATGGACCACACATTGCAGGGATCTGATAAGTTTGGGCTGCACTCAACATGCAAGAAATGACTCCGAGATGCAGTGATTTCGTCCTGTGCCGAGCAACCCCGCCGAACTTCGTCTTCGCGAAACCGAGCCTGGTAGCAGGTCGAGGAGGGGGTGGGACTTTCAGCAGGCCTGCACGCAGGCTCTGCATCTGTTGCTTTCTGAGCTTCAGGTGCGCTGGTTTGAAGCTTTTGAAAGCAAGTGGCAACTCCACTGATAATCTGAGAGAAGTAGCGGGCAGTAGCTCACAATCACGGCAACAAACTGGCCTTAGCCCTGGTTGTAAAGCACATCCAAGACTCAGACTTGCCTGCGAAGGCACGGCTACTCAGACTTGCCTGCGAAGGCACGGCTACTAAGAGTATTGTAAGCATTCCTCAACACTCAGCGCACCGAAACCACAATGCCAATGCTGAAACTATGCCAAGCTTCATGAGGCGAATAGCCAGAAACCTCGTGGTTGGAAGCACAACTCTACACCTCCGCTTTGCCACAGATCTTCAGAATCACCTTGTGACCCTTTAAGACCCGCCTGCGACACTAAGCTGACCGATCGCTTCTGTTTACTCGCCTGTGTGGGCAATCCGGGCGACTGCAGAAGCCGCCGGCTCTTCTACGATGCCGGCTTGTTGAAAAGCTGCTGTAGCAAGTGGTGGTAGGCGAAAGCACCGGCTGCATCTGGTGGTTGTGGTGACTTTTTGCAAGCACTCCGGATGCTCTCAGAGGCGACTTTTGCCAGTCCTGCCAGGCCTTTCACTTATGGCCACTTATGGCACGAGGGACCGGCCCCCTGGTACTGTCAAAACCGGTACTCTCTGCCGCCTCGGAGCTGCCAGGCCAGTGCCACACACGGAGCTGGCCTTGTGTCAGAGAATTGGGGGGGTTGCCGAGTCACGTGATCGGCTGCCATTCGAAATCAACTGGCTAATCCTGAACATGATGTTATGCCAGCCATTGACAATTCTTCTTATTTCTTCTTGCATCTTCTGGCTGCGGCATTCTTGGTGCAAGTTCCATGTCTACTACGGCCAAGGCTATGGCTACGGCTTTTTGCTTCTTGTAAAGTCACTCAGTCAGTCGGGCATGTGCTGGGCGGCGTTCGGACAGGTGAACTGGCATACCGAATGATTGCAGACATGAGGATTCTGTACAAGTCTGGTTGTCCCACTGCGGCTTTCAAGGAATTGACATGTTTTGTCCCTGACATACATGACCCATTGTCGTCGCGGCCTCCCCAACCTTCTCGCATAAGTACTGGTGGCAGGTTGAAGTTCCACGGATTCAGAGCTGTGCATGAGGTTGGTCTGGGAATCGCAATGGCAAAGGGGGACTTGAATTCCAAAAAGTTTGGAAGCATTCTTCATTACCGCTGGATCGTAAGGGTCAAATCTCTGAATTTCTTCTTGAATCGCAGCTGATGGACTCCCTGAGCTACTTATGTTGATCGTTCGCAGATCGTCGACATCTGGATGGATTTCAAAACCGTTGCTTGCGAGGTATGCCTGGCATCCCACACGCTTTCGTCACGAGAGTGCCCAACGCGGAAGTTCTGCACAGAGCTTGGGAAAGCGCTGAGATCTGCATGCGACCACGCATTGCCCTGCTAGGCCATCGTGACTGATAACAAAGCCTAGGTTTTTCTGGTGTAACATGCTCAGCGTACAACAGCCCTGCGATTGCGATCTGAGACAGATGCTCCTGCAAATGAGGGTCGGCTGCACCAAGCAACAATCAAAACTCTGCCAACATCTACTCTTGCATGTGTGGGACGAGGTGGCACCTACGAAATTGCAAAGGTCAAGAAATGGCGGCAGAATTGTCGCAGCACAGCGGCATCGATGTCAGGCTAAGGGCCGGCAGCGGTGCAGAAGTCGGAAGAAGGAGGACCAGGGCCCCCGCCTTCGCATTACTGCTTCTGCTTGCTTGGCTTGACACCGCTGACTCTGCCTAGACAACAATTCACGCTACGCTAACGTATGCCAATGTTTAACGCACCAAAAACGACAGCATGTCGAAGTTAGTGTTCATAACATGCCGATTTGGGGTTTGTGACAACATACCGTCGCCGTCGAGAAAAAAGTGCAGCTGCACAACACTGCTCCAGGTACAGCATGCACAACTATGTAAGCAAGCACCTTCCCTCGGCACACCCGCAGCCTCGAGAACCATGTAATCCCAAACGTACCAGAACTCTCCTTCGCCGCAGCAGGTGTGGGAGGCCGACGACATCGTTGAAAAAGGCTGGCCGGCAGGATGCTGTTGACTGCATGTTCCGATTGAACCTGGCGTGTGCAAAGCCTCGTGACGCCCAGTTGGTGAAGCGACTTAGCCTTACCTGCCTGAGGTTGATGTGGGGTCCTGCTACTGCCAGAGACTGCAGGCAGACTCGGGCGACGAGTAGACCAAGCCAGCCTCGACGGGATGCTAAGAAACTGCGTGCGCACGCACACACACACACACCCACACACCCACCCACCCACCGACACCGGCGCGCACGCACGCACTCGATCGGTGATTAGAATGTGGGGTGGACTTGGCCGACAGCGCGGCAGGAGCACGTTATTTAGAGCTGTCGCGGCTCGAGCCTGCCAAGCCGCCACAAACGGCAAGAAGGCCGGCCAGCAGACCTCAGAATGCAGCCCACAACTCGCCAGGCTTGCATGACGTGCCGTCACAGACAGCTTGGACGTCTACTCTGCTCACGTACGCCCTATCCCTTTTGTCAGGAGTCTCAGACACAAATCAAATGGCCAAAAGTCCTGTCAATACTGGTATCTCTGAGGTTCATGTCAAGCATGGGGTCAGCCCATGTCAGAACCAGTCTCACCCCAATTCGCCCCTCAGCACTCAGGGCCGCACCGACACCGTTCAAACCCAGAAGCATGGCATCGCTATCATCGAGCCAAAGAAGCGTCCTCGGACATGCCCTTTACATTGCACAAAGGCCCTAGCCATTCAGAAAGGAAAGCCACGTGACTTCTACCAAGTGTTCTCCGGATCTCTCCAGCAATACCGTCATGATCATGGAAAATTCCAGAACCAGTGCTCCGAGAGTCGGAAAGTACAGGACCTTCCGGTATCCAGGAAAGTCCTGCTTCGGCAGGCCATGAGATCCATCACAAGAGAGGCTTTGAGTAACCATGGGCGATATTGATGTGAAAGGCCGCAGCAATCACCTGGATATCTGAAGCGTGACACTCAGAATCGCAGTCGCAAACCTTGCTCGCCCGCGAGAGAAGGTCGGACACTGGGGAAATTCCTTTCCTGACAGAATACTGAAGATCTCTGGCAATGGTTCCAAGCATGAAACTTGCCTGTGATTCGCTAGGAGATCTGGTCTTTGAAAATATACACAGCCGGCTGGGTGGGTAAGTGGCCACCTACAACCCGTAGAATCTTCTTGGACCCGGCTCAGCACGCGGTGAAGCCTATGGCATGTTGCCGAGTGGGCCTGTGACTGGCAATGATTGTAGAACCGTTACAGGCAGTTAAAGGCAGTGCTGACAAGCCCGGCTATGCTGCTATGCCAACAATAAGTTTCTTGCTTCAATGCAGGAGTTTTGGGCTTCACGGAAAAGGCAACCTCGATTGCAGGAAACCCGGAGAAAACACCTTAACCTCCAACAAAAGCCAAGCATCTTTCCGCAAAGAGGCACGACCTCTCACAGATTTTAAGGCTTGTCAAAGATTTGTGACAGGGCACCCAAATGAGCATGTTATCTACTCAACGAGCATCGTTGGATTCCCCGGCCTGGTTGTGAAACGACGCGAAGACCATGACATAGAGCAAACCATATCCTTAGAGGCAAAGGCGAAATCTTACCGCAACTCGATGAGTCAATGTCGCGGATCTCCATGGACCTCCAACAGCAAGTTCATCCTGCCAGTAGCTCATAAAAAGGCCCGTGCAAGCCCGACCAGGTCCGCGACAAGCACCAGCAAAGAACCGCGGAAGCCGTACCCTTCAAGGTGCCACGCTGGGAAAGCCAGGGCACCCTTGGAGACCAAGCCCCATGCGACTTCCGCCTAGGCCCGGCTCTGCTCTGGGCTGCCTGACTTGTATTCTTATAAGTCTGTCCCTTTGACTTCAGGTGTCGAAGCCACACATCTCCCTATCGATTTAAGCATGCCTTGGGAACGCTTTCGATTTTGGGTGGGCCTTCTCCATTCTGGCCCACCCAACTCGGAGTCCAGCCGTCTACATGCCAGAGACCTCCAATCTAGTTCGGCCAAAGCACGGAGACCTTCACCTGTGGTAGCAGCTCCTCCTCGCATGCAGCTGTTCTAGCTTGAGAGCAAAGACGATGTCCCATGAGCAGTAACGGCTGAAAATACAGAGGCACGAAAGGAATGTGATTTGCGCACAAGGCGAGGTTTTGAAAGAGGGTTCTCGTTGAACTCCATCGCATGCACGTGCGACAATAATCTTCGACCGACACCACGGCCGCACTGCACCGAGAGACTGCCATCAGATCGGCCCCAACGCTCTTGCAGTATTGCATCTCATCACCAGCAAGCGGCTCAAAATCATAAGGTCTACTCTCACTCCGGGCGTGGGGGTGCCAAGCTCCACGCCTTCATTTTCCACGAGCATCGGGAAAACAACAGTAATAGCAGCAGCGTAAACACCGAGGGTTTCGGCAGGTGAAAACACCACGAATTTGGAGGTGCTGAACAAGGACGGGGCACCGATATCGTCGGCACACGAAGCAGAGGAAACACTGTAAATACTAATGGAATCGGCATGTCGGTTTTGTGCGTGTACATGGCGTCCGAGCCAACAAAAACAACCACAACCATCAATGTGGCACATTAAACTCGATCAAACAGCACATATGCTACTGTACTGTCATTTGCAACCGTCTGGGGCTTCGAAAAAAGAATAGCTTGGAAGCATGAGTCTTACAAAATCCCAGCTTTGGGGTAGTTTGTGGCGATGCCTGGGCCGCAACGGCAGGCAGGCAACACATGAAAGCTCCCACTCCCACGAGCCAAGCAGGAAATACACATCCGCACTTTCCCGGCGGGTCCGTCAACGCGATGGAACACGAGCGGGGAGAGTGTCTGTTGTTGGGGGTGTCGGAAAAGACAGGCAGGCTCCGGTAGTGACAGCGAAAACATGCTGGAGCAAACTAACTTTCGTTTGGCTGGCATGGGGCTATACGGGACACAGTTCGTTGGCACGACTAGTTTGAGAGCGTGAACCTGAGCCCCGGTCCAGGTATTGGTTGCTCAGCAGCACGGTGCAGATCACCACACTCCTGGGTCCAGGAGCGTCGAGTCTTCTTCTTTCGGTCCGAACGCCACAGTTTGATCATCTTGGCAGCCGCTTCATCACTCTGCCACTATCGCCGAGCTGCAGAACAATCAGCAGGCGCGCGCCTACTGACTCGATCACAGGAGCCATTGGTCACCTCTGACTTTCTGGACAGAGGGCTCGTCTAAAGGGCTTTGACAGAAGGCTGGTCCCGCAAAGAAAAGCTCTTCACATCCCTTCGCCCCTTTTCAGACCGCTTCGCGGACTGCACTGCAAATCTCTCGTCTTCCCGGCCAAGGCTCGGCTCCTCGGCTCCCCGCAGCTCCCAGAGAGCTCTTAACCGACACGGCTGCGAAGTGGGGCCCTGCCCTCCGTGTCGACGTTTTGCTCGAGTCTGCGCTACCCTCTTTGGAGATCGAATACGAAGATATCCGAAGGCAGACCTATATAGCCAGGCCGGGCGCCGAAGAAAATGACCTGAACAGCTGAAGGCCCGCAACTGAGAATCTGAGGCCAGCTTCGGGCAGGCATCGCTCATCTTCCCGACAGGGGAAAGTAGGGACGGCAGAAGCCTTGCTGAGCTGGCAGGCTCCCGCGTTTTCAAGAAGCCAGGGTTCGCACTTCGGGTTTCGTTGCTCAGCTGACGCGCCTCCCGCAAGAGTCTCTGCATCTATCGAAAGAATGCCTTCAATAAATCGTATTCCACAGCGCCGAGTGACATCAGCGCAGGCCACATATGTTTCAGCTCCGGGGTATCGATCCTTAGTGCACATCCCAGACTAGACAGGCTAGAAGCGCAGGGAGAGCGAGTAAGCAGAGTTCGTGACCGGCCCCTTAAATTCATGAACACGTTCCGCGATTCAACAGCTTTGAAAACAATGCAAGAACTACAGGCTGCAATGTGTTCGGACCCCGGGAGCCCAGACATGATCATGAAAGCTGCTGCCACAGATTCGTAGCAGGGGAAGTCAAGAATCGGCACAATCATGGCCTTCGAACAAGAATCAAGTCGCTGACGTTACGACAAAGGCATTACACTCATGAACTCTAATTTGTGTGTACCCAACTGCAATTTAGCATGTACAAGAAGAAGTGATGCAATGTCACGTGGGGGAATGGCAGAATGCTGCATGACCTCCACATCCGCGACCTCCGCAGCACCTGGCGCGCACTGGAACTCTTGCACAGGGAGCTTCGCTTGCTGCGTCCAGCTGCCTCCACCACTCCAACCGCCCTCTGTACATCGCCGTATGCCCAGTCGAGTGGAAACCAATGAAGCGCCTTCTGCTGCCAGAACTGCATCGTCAGCAAGCTCGGCCCTGTGCCAGGAACTGATGAGAATTCAAGACAAGCTTACACTCCGACATCTCGATTTCTTATCACAAACCATTGCAAGTTCTTCTTGCAAAGGTGCCAAGTTCATTAGTCATGGTTGGCATTCAACTCCTCCCGTAGCACACTGAGAACCCAAGTCAAAGCGGCCCTGCTCGAGTCAGACGGATCTGGCATGCCAGGACATCCAGCTCCCTGGCGACCTCGTGAAGGCCGGGAGCTTTGTTGCCCATCTTCATTGCCCGAGCAAGTTCTGCCCATGGCATGACGAGGTTACGTGGTGCTACACCAACAGAATCTGCAGAAACTTCTGGCAGACGACTTTCGTGGAAAAGCGTCTAATTCCTATCATGCCCATGGCCTCTTCACGCAGCCGTGCCACAATTGGGGAGCTTAGCTCCACTGTCAAGCATGCCTTGGAGCTTGCTCGATACACTCAGCTACTCCACATTGCACTCAATTCGGCCACGCTGTCCCTAAGCCCCATCTCCCGAACATGATAGCGGATCCAAACCCGACACCACGGACACAAGCCCTTCACCGCGGGCGGACCTTGCCCTACTGATAAAGACAGTTGTCTGGCCTAGCGTTGGACTTGAACTTTTGGGCTGTGCACTCTGCGAAAAGGCTTTCCTAGTGCTTTCGACGAACACAGTTCCAACAGTACTTCTGGTTTCGAATCGCTTGTCTTATTGTCGTCCTGGTGCCTTTAGCTTGCCAACTACCCGAGGCGTCATCTGCTCCGATGCAGCAGAAGCACACCACTGAGCAAGGAAACGGCCACAGCGACCATTGCACACAAAGCGCATTGATACCATCGTGTGTCCCTGACTGTAGCCTCTAGAGGCCATCTCTAGACTCCTAGCCGACGTTTAGAGCCCACGATTTTCCTGCCGGGCTTCTCGCACCTGAAACATGTTACAGATTCACCAGCTGTAGTTTTGCGAAGCTAGCACTCTGACTACAACCGGGGCTAGGCCGAAGAGATGAAGTCTGTCAGTGTGTACAGTTGCTCCAGCCCGAGGCATACTGATACTGACAGTCGCCATTCCATCTGACGACGGCCCACTAGCGACACGGCGATGTCGTCACTCAGACTAGTTGTGTTGCATTGTTGCCACAAATCTGCAAAGCAGAAATCCTTGGGGCTTGTGTTCAAGCTTCGGCAAGGGCATACTTGCCACATGTTCCATGACCCCTTCTGCAATGTGTGAAACACAAACCCACGGAGCCGAAAGATGAAAATGAATCAGTCGTTGCACCCTCCGCAGCTGAAACCGATGTAGTTCCGACGAGACGTCCTTGACAACCTCTCACTGTCCTACCAACACATTGGACACGGCCGCAGCCTTTTCTTGCGGTCCAACTGCTCCAGGAGAGGTCTGCGGTGTACTCGTGCAGCCGCGCATGCAAGGGGTTGCTCTGGCCCCACTCAGCGCGGCCCGTCCCTTGCTGAAGGCTGCCTTCCCAAGCGAGGGCGTCTCGATTCTCGGTGAAATGGCTAAGCGACGAGCTCTGTTGGGAAGCTCTGCCTTCACCTGACTCCGCGCTTTGCCTCAAGTCTGCAGGCAGCTGTCAACGCAGACCTGAGCTGAATCTGGCCCGCGTTGTGGCACGACATGCTTCACTTCAGGGTATGTCCAGCACCAGCGACGGATTGTCCATGGCATGGAAATCTTTCATGAAATAGCGACAGTGATAGGAAAAACATGTTTAGGCGGAGCAGTATGGTAAGCATATCAAACTCCCTGTGCAACTTCACGGAAGCTCAGCCATGTGGCGTGTGGAGACTGGAGAAATCTGCAAATAGAACAGGCCCACTCCCAGAGACACCCAAGACCCCAGCACGTCCAGAGGTCACCAGAGCAGAAGACGCAGTCAAAGCCTCGGATGCATGGTGTTGCCTGGTGAATCTTTTCGCTACATTGGTTCCTGGTATATGCCGGCTGTTACAACAAAGCGCCGCTGACGCGGAGGAATTGATGGGTGGTAGGGCAGGTCCATCTTTGTTTAGATCTGATGGGCACCTCATTGCTGCACAGTAGCCTTGCTTGGCGCGAGGCGAGGTCGAGCATGATCTCCTGGTATCATGAACAAGAAGGTTGGAAGCTGTTCTGCTTCTCCAATCTCCAAAGCTCTGGTCCAGGACTTTGGTCCACACTCGCCAGGTCCTAATTAATTAGGTTCTGTCCGCCGCTCTGCTTGCTTTCCCCAGAGGGTTTGCTTTTTTGTGTCTGGAATGGTCACCGTAGTCCTCAGAGCCGCCTCCCATCGCGAGGACACGTACCTCCAGAACAGGTTCCGATGCCGGGACTTCGAGGCCTTACTCACGGTTTTTTGCTCCAATGCCCATGAACCGTAACTTTGGCGCACCGCTTTTGAAATCAGAACGTTTGGCTCGCTGCTTCTCTTGCTCCAAGTTTGCGGATTGCCAACTGTCGAGGTTTCCAGGCTTCGATTACTGCACACCCTCGTGCAGTTTATTGATTACAGCATTTCAGGCGAAGGTCAAAGACAAAAACATGAAGGTGCAAGCTTGCGCACGAATACTGCACATTACGGCGTATGATTACGGACGATTACGAGCTGCCAATGAAGGCATAGGCTAGCACACTGCTTCAGTCAACTGTCATGCCAACCAAATGATTGTTACTATTGTGCATGTTCCACCTCTTGGCAAAGGGGTGCGTCACTATCTCTCCGGGAGTCTAGCGCCACCGGCTGTAGTCCCCAACAAACCGGTCTGGTGCTTTTGGTCTTGGATTTTAATATCGCCTGGCTGCATTACACTATGCGTCCCTGAAAAACATCATAGAATCTGAAAGAGCCCCAAACGGGGAGTAGAGAGTACCCCGAAAAATGTTCCACAGGCCGTGGCTGCCTGGCCCTGGCCCAGCCTCCCGGTAGGCGCGCTCCACGACACGGCCAGGTCCAGACCTCAAAAAGGGGCGGCCCCCTGTTAGGGCCCTAAAAAGGCGGCGCGATGGCTGCTGGCCGAGGCGCCGAAGGTAAGACTTGCCCCCGAAGACCTGACCAGATGACAGAGGTCCGTTGTCAGGCGGCGCGCGTCGCTTTCGCATCTCTATCTTCGCACACACATATGCACATACATATACACTTGCCGCATGCACATACAGATACGCGTACAACAGCTACCCTAAGAATTCCGCCTGCGAGCACTCACGGGCCACGAACTCGAAGCTCTTCGTCGCCTGAACCTCCGACGGTCGAAAATGCAAAAATGCAGGCTGCAACTCAAACGATGGACTCTGACAACCCTGAAGCCGTCTCCAGTCCCAGCTCATGAGAACAGCATACCGAAGAAGTGTCAAAAACAGAAGAAAGCATGGAAACATGTAGACACTGCAACGAACCGTGAGCCTGACGACAACATCGCCGCGAACTGTGCGAAACACTTTGCTACCGGCTAACCGTCGAGACGATGAAACCCACACAAGAGAGGAAACTTGAGGAAGCAACCAACACTTGTCCTGCAAACCGTGTGACATTTCAAGCTCTGGGCAACCACTGAAACCAGAAAAGCCTGACACGTGGTGCAGGGGCTGCAGGATCAAAAAAAAACAAAACGGAACAATTGAAAAATAAGCATTCCGGATCAATAGAAACTACAAAGAAGATCAAAAAACAAACAAACAGGCTCGGTACGGCTCTTCTTTCTGCTTGCTCATCGTAGAAACAGCAGCGCATGCCACTGTTTCTAGGCTTCATATGCTGTTCATTACAGCGTTTCCAACATTACTCGCGGTTCACAGGCTACAAGTCACAAAATTGTAAATTGCTGCAACTTTTGCTGTTCTCAAGCTTCGATTGTCAGAAATTCCTACAACATTTGGATTCATCCTATGTGTTAAACACGCCCCCGCATTTGGCGATTCCGGCTTATCTTACATCTTCGGCACGCCCCCTCATTTGGCGACGCCGGTTCATCGGTTCATCATGTACCTTGAACACGCCCCGCTGGCGACTATGTTAAGCACGCCGCCCCCCCCCGGGGCGATTATGACTCCATACATCTTAAACACGCCCCCTCACTTGGCGATTCCGGTTCATCATAAATTTCACACACGCCCCATCATTTGGAGATTCCGGATCATCATATGTATTGTTTTGGACGATTCCCGTTAAGCACGCCCCTTCGGCGATTGCGGGTCCTCGTAAATCTTAAACACGCACTCTCATTTGGTGATTCCGGTGCATCATATCTCTTAAACACACCCCCTCCTTTGGAGATTCCCTCCATTGGGGCGATTCCGGTTCATCATGTATCTTAAACACACCCCCCCCATTTGGTGTTTCCGGGTCCGCCTGTATCTTAACACGCCCCCTCATTTGGTGATGCCGGTTGACCGGCTGGTCCACCCCCGGCCTAACTCCGCTTCAAGACCCCAAGCACCCCTGGCACGTGCACCATGCTGCAAATCCTCGCCCCTTTTCTGCGGAAGCCTGCCTTCGCCAGGGCGATGGCGCCTGCAAGCTGCTCCGAGGAATCTGCAGGCCTGGCTTTCTGCGCCTGGTGGGACTTGCGTGACATTGCGTGACATGGCAGCAACCGGCGAATAATCCCCTGGTTCTTGGCCTCCGAGGGCAGACACACCCCTGCTGGCGCCGAAACATCCAGCCCTCGACCGTTGTTTAACGACCAAGCGGCACAGATGGAAAGGATCATGCCGTTGGTGGCCATGATATGGCCTTTGCAGGGTGATGCAGCTTGTCGATTCCCTGCACGCGTGCAGAGCCAACCGCGCAGGGATACCCGAGGTTGCTCATCGTTTCTCGAGGGATCGCGGACGTGGAGACATTATTTGATCGGCCCTAGCGACTGGCGTCCGCAGCTGCCGTTCCGCACTGCCAAAGTCAACAATCCTACATGATACCAGCTGCCCGATTCCATCCAGCTAAGCACCCGGGCGACCGCATTCCATGAGCTTGTGGCGGATGACCTGGACCGTGCTCTTGCCCGCTAGATGCGGGTGTGCGACCCTGAATCTTGACGCCTGATGCGCGGACAGCGGCTTGCCGAAGGTCTTTCGCACCTCAGCGGCGTCAAGGCCACCGGATCTGACAGACGGATGGCACCATCGTCCAACTGTAGCCGTGGTGCCATTTTCAAGATCATGGGAAGACACTTATTCATATTAGTTGCCGTGGGCTGCGTAAGCCAATGGCTTGTTGAAGGCCTGGAACATTCTCGAACTGCTCGCAACGTCAGGGCTTACTGAGAAAGACAACCAACCAGTTTTGCCAAGAGTCCTGTGCATATCTGACCTCAGCTAAGTCACATGGTCCTCAAGAATCTCTGTCCTTCCGGCACTCCGCAGCCCTGGGCCCGGAAACTTCCAGACGTCATGTGCCGCCTTCGGGCCTGCATCCTGTCGACTGAAGCTACAGACTACAGTGACTACAGCGAAGCTCAGCAGTGCTCCTCATCCTAGTCCTAGACCTCACACTGCGATAAACAGAGCATCACCGAAAGCTGAAGTGTTCTCTTGGGGCCGTGGCCGTCTCTTCCAGGCAGACCCGGGCCTGGACATAACCAAGCCGGGCAACCGGGCAACGTTTCTCCGTGCTCTCCGAACGGCAGGCCCTTTTTGAAGAGAGGGACAGAACCAGCGCGTAGCCCCTACAATTCCCAGAAACGGACTCAAGCAGACGCAGCTGTCAGCCTGCCGGTTGGCGATGATCGCCAGGGCAAGCCTGCTCTCAGGCTTTGGCGCTGAGGCCCCAAACCTGAAGTCACCGGCCTCTCGTTGTTGAAGTTCCGCATGATTGCCAAAAAGCCGTCACCTGCAGAGATTCGCCATGAACACCCAAGGTCCCAAGGGCTGACGGCGGCTACCAGGCGAACAAGTGAATCACACTCAACTCAAGTGGCTTATAGCACCTGCTGACGCTAACAGAAGTCGACTCTGCCTTCCCGCCCCAGCAAGTTCTCTGCCGGAACCTTCACCTCATCAAACGTCACCAAGGTCCTCGGTAAGCTTTAAAATCACACCGCAGCCCAACTTATTTCGGGCTCCACGTAACTTGATGTGTGTGTGTGTGCGTTTGCAGCAATAAGCAAGCCCTCTGCACGACTGACTGAGTACCAGCTTGAACCCCCGAACGTCCACGAATAACACAGCAACCTGGAGGAGTTCACCCCTTGTCCGGCCCCGCGGCGTGGAGCTGAGGTGCCATCCCTGCGTCCTGCCAAGAGTTTGTGGCTCATGATGAAGCCCTAAACAGCTGTCCGGACCACTCAGGCGCTTCTCGCAGAGCGGAGCTGGATGGCTTCTGTTGATGTCAGAGAGCTATCCCGATGAGCGGAACTGCGCTGGCCTGCTGAGCCGTTGTTCATCCGGCAGGCCCAGAATTTGGATCGGCCCCTCCAAACACACACCTTCGCCTTTTTACCCATGCTCCGAGTCTGGACTTGCAGCCGGAGGACTTCAAGCGCGTCGTATTCAGACCAGCACTTGGCCGTGGCACCAGCAAGACTGAGATGCCCTGCCAGGTCGGCTCTTGAAAAAGAAGGGGTGTTCAGTGCTCCAGACAGCGGCATCATGTAACATATGTAACGATGCACGGGAAACCGGCACAGAACGAAAACTCCCGGCTAACAAGGCGCCTGGTTGCCGGTTTTGCCGCTGGTGCGGACCCCCGTGGTGAAGTAGTCGGCATGCATCCCCCCTGAGATGAAAGTCTTTTGGCCGTTGACCACCTTGCAGAGAATAGGTTGGCATGTGCCCGGTAGCCTAGAACTAGGACGGCGAGACATCCGAGTTTCCAGAAAACTGGGCAATGCGATGCGCCAGTAACGCGAGGATTGATGGGCAACCCCGAGCGGAGCACAACATGTTCATCTAAGCTGCATAGTATCTGCCACTGGCGTCGAGAACCTGCTTTGCCGATCTGCATGCGTGGGCATGTGACAGGCTTCATGATGCTCTCGACAACAGGGCCTTAAGCCTTAATTCCACCCGGGCACTGCGGTAGTCTGTACGTTGGCCACGTCGGAGCCGCCTCCCGGCTCCGTGACGGCCAGGCAGCAGGTCTTCCTGGAAGGCAGCCAGGTCCCCGCGCGTTGCAAAAATAGCCACCCCGTGATTGTCGCTTGCCCCAGCTAAAATGACCTAAAATGACCTAAAAACCCCGAACTGCATTCGCAGTGCAACCCGGGCTCTCACCGGAGATGATTTGTCCTCAGGCGATGCATGGCACAAAGCATTCTCAGGGTCTGCGCTCCATGTAAGCAAGGAAGCCTACAGGAAACACCTCATTCTCTCTAAGGCTTCTTGCGCTGCTAGCTCAGGGCAACCCTAACCCTAAACCTTCGCAATGATTCTTGCAGGAACTGTCGGAACGGTGGACCCATGCTGAGCTTCGCAACCACCTCCCTCCGGGGATGAGACCACAACTGAACTTGGGCAAAGCGGCTCGCGACAGCCTGGCCAGATGTGTCTTTTCACCCCGTCTGAGAAGTGACGAAGTGCTCAAGTTCCCCCCCACCTCCTTCTGCTTCTCGGAGCCCAGCTCCTGCTCAGCTTGCTCAGCTCACGAAGCAGTCTCTGTTCTCTGGACACGCATCCGCTCCAGCAGCGGTGGCAGCGAGATGCTGTGTGTCATCAGAGAGCCGTAGAGGCCTGACTGCATGGCGCATGGAACCAGCAACAGCCTTCCTTCAGGACACTCCCCCTGCAGCAACTACGGCTGAGGTCAACACCACTGGCGCATGGGCGCGCTAATTCGTCGTAGAAGATGAAGTAATGAAACCTAGGCCAAAGGCACAAAACGTCCAGAGACCGAACGAAGCCCTCTTGTATTCCGTGACCTAGTTTGACGGCTCGGACAATGGTCACGGCTGTGTCATATTGCCACACCATGCAAGAAACACAACTTCTGGGCCAGCTGCATGTCGGCCTCCTCAGCAGTTGGAAACGTACCACCGTACCTCCGAGCTCAAAGGTGACTTGCTGCCAATCATCCGACAGCTGCAGTTCCAAGAAGCGACATGCTATCAGGACAACACAGCAACAAGTAATCAGTCCTACACAGAGCAGGCGAGTGGGCACTTCTCGGGCCAGAAAGCTCCATAAACACCAGCCTATGAAGCAAGAACCGGTCCGCCCTTTCTGCATTTCATTGGAGATACTTGTACCAGTACACTACCGCGCAGAGAGAGCTTTCTCTTTGCATCCAAGTCTTTGACGACATGCGGGCTTCACGATACAACTCTACGAGTAACTGGAAGCTCGCCGTTCTGGCCCACTTCCTCGCACCTGGTACGCACGTCGATGGAGATCTTTCGGAAAGCCTCCGGCCTCCTCCCAATCCTTAGATATGCAAAAACGCAACTGAGGCAACAGCGGAAGCACAATCACCAGGGCATCCACGCGCACCCCACATGTAATATGGCTGGCCCAGGTCCGGAAGTTTCTGCCAACCAGCGAAAGGCCCAATGCTGACCCGTCTGCAGACACTGACATGACCATGCAAACCACGGCGCATCTACGTAGGGCAGCACGTCGTTGTCCACAAACCTGCTCTACAGCCCTGCGAGCCTACTGGGCGAAACGAAGTTCGTACCACAAGGCACCCTCTGCGGCTTCACCCACCATCTGCAAGCGTTTGATTGAAGTCCATGCACCGGCATAAGCCAGATCAACTACAGAAGCACTCCCCCCCACGCTCGGCTCTGACAGACATGGCGAAAAGTCCCCGCACCTCATGAAAAGCCGTGCACTAGCAGGGCCTCGCACAGGTCTCTCGCAACTCGCGGTGCTTTGGCGTGTATGCGCCTGAAACATTCTCCAGTGGACTCTGGAGCAGTCGAGAAGCAAGGAACTGCAGCCAGTCGGGTCATTTCGGGTCCACGGGGCCTGACTTCCCTCCAGAAAAATTCTACAGACGGAGGACAGAGATGCACGTTTCCGCCCATGTGCTCGGCATGTGTCGGATGAACTAGCGGTGTCTGTGACCGCTGTTGAACTACACGCAACGTCGCGGATGACTTCTAAAAACATCTACATCGGGGCCACTCAGGACCAATCCACCAAGTCCAGACCCAAGCTGTACTGCGTCTCCTCGTTGTCCTGGGCACGGGCATGGGCGTGGGCATGAGGGAGCACATGCAAACAGCCGCGTGCGAGGCGCGAGGTAACACGGGCGCATTCATGCAGAAAGACTATAGGCCCTCGGTCCTGCAGGTACACGCGGATGCTCAGGAAGTCGGTGGGGCAGGCCGTCTCGCAGCGCTTGCAGCCCACGCAGTCCTCCACTCGCGGGGACGAAGCCACCTGCTTGGCTGCGTTGATAGTGGCCGGGACCATCTCCAGCACATCTGTGGGGCACGCACGGACGCACAGAGTGCAGCCAATGCAGGTGTCGTAGATCTTCACAGCATGGGAACGCCGAGCCAACAGGCTGGCACTCTTTTGGCATCGCCCGGCAGC